ATCTCATTTTAATGCCCATATGTTGTGATTTGCTTTATGAATAAGGAAATTGTGATTATTTTCAGTAGATTATGTGATTTGGAGCTACCACCAGGAAGTGGCAGAATTAGGATCCATTTCTCTCTAACTCCCCAGAGGAGAAGGGAATGCTCGAGACCTTGGACTGTACCAGTCCTTGCAAGAGGGTGACAAGGCTGTCTTAGGGAAGGTAAGAGGGCACAGTCAGATCTGAGCTTCGTTAGCAGCTGAATATCTGAGAAAGGAAGGGAAAGGAAGTGAATGAAACTGAACTCCAAAGAGTCTTCTCTAGCTAAACCACAGCACAACAGGTGAGAAAGACAACCTGCAATCAGTAAATTGAGGCACCAGAAAGGGGGAGAATCTGGGAACTAACCACATCAAGAGGAAAATAACTGAAGGAAGAGGAAATGCTAGTCTAGAAATGACAGCGTCGAGGTGAATAAGTGAGATCTTTACTGGAAGACCTAGTTTGTGTGCATAACTAAAATAGAAAACAAAAACTTATGTAGCCGATTGAAGGTTACAGGGAACAGATTTTTGCTCATTGCATGATAGTTCACAAGATAAATCTCAATACACATTTTCTCTCTGGTTTTTTGTTTGTTTTTGCTCCAAGTATTTGTTTGAAATATATTTTTGTGTGTGTGATTCTGGGAATTGAAGCAAGATCCATGTATGTGAAGCAGGTGATCTTCCATTGACCCTATTCCTCGCCCTAAATATTTCATTTGAATGCCCTTTTGTGGGGCACGTACTATCATTTTCACAGCCAATATTTCCTCTCTGAGACTTCCACATCACTCATACATGCTTGCTTGTGAATCAGGGTGGACAGACTTAATACATAAAAAGACAAAGATGCAAAGATAAATTTGAATTGCAAAAGATAAATAACTTACTGTACTCTAATTATGATCCAGGCAATATTTGCCATGCTTTTTATATTATATTCAAATTTATGTGCCTATACTTGTGAGCGTCGAAGAAATAACAAAGAGGACGAAGAACCTCCAGCTCCAAGCACATCTCTTTGATTCCACTGTTCTTCCTGCATTAACATACATCTCAGAGACCTGGGCCTTAGGAAAGCAGGATGAGAACGCTATTCGGGTCTCTCAAAGAGGAATCAAAAGAGCTATGCTTGGAGTATCACGCTTCACTCAAATGAGAGAATCTGGAGTTCTGACCTCCATCAACGCTCAAGAATCAGGGACGCTGTCTCGTTTGCCAAGGGGTTGAAAATCAGATGGGCTGGACACGTAACGAGATTTAGAGACGACCGCTGGACTAGAGCCATTACAGACTGGATTCTACGGCACGTCAAAAGATCGCGTGGACGCCCACCTACGAGATGGTGAGACTTCTTCGTCAGGACCATGAATGATTGGTTTGAGGCTCTTCATGTTCCTAGAATGAGCAGATGCCTTTGGGCTATGCTAGCACACAACAGGGTTGAATGGAGACCTTACTGGAGCCCGCTCGAGCAAATTGATGAGTAACGGGGTATGAACTGATCAAGTGATACTTGTGATTTATGAAGAAGACTGAACTACTTATTCTGGTAATCCTACTCTAGGGGCTTTAAACAGGAGGCCCTCATGTTGCATTTTGAGGAAGTGAGCTACATATTTGAGAAGTATTTCCAGACTCTTCTGTAAGAAATGTTCAAGATGGAAAAAGGGCCAAAATGATCTGAATGTACCCTGTCCAGGCCCCCATTTCAGTCCAACAATACAAAATGGTAGAGGGATATTATCTTGGAATAAAAACTTTGGGTGTGGTACATTGACTTCTGGCTCTACCAGAACTGGGATAGATTGATAATGATGTAGTGCTTTCGACCTCTCACATCAATCACTAGTAAAATGCCCTTTTAAGTGCATGTTGACTGATTTGTCTGCAGCTGGGGAAAATGGGGGTGATCTCTTTTTGGGTCAGGGCATGAACCAAGAAGCATACAACATCCTCAAATTACAGTTCTTCTCTATCTGTCAAAAGCCACTTGCTGCTTCTCTGAGACTGTGCTTAGTCATCCTGACACTTATTTTCTTAGCTTGCTGCCAGAATTGCTTCTCTGTTGTTTTGGACAGACTGTGACTGACTTACCAGCGAATGGAACATGGTGACAATTGGTACGAGAAAAGAGACAGTCCTCAGCTCTGTTACTACGAACTAAGTTTCCCCAGTACAAAAGGAAGGACAGGGCCGCTGAGACCACATTTAGAAACTGCCTCTAAAAATGAGTGCTCTCCCAAATAAAGGGTGCTGGGAAGATCTTCCCAGGATGGGAGATGCATGCTGAAAGTAGACTATAGAGCTAACATGATTGCCACTCAATGCCTCTTTTGCAAACCACAGCACCCAAAAGGAGAGAAAGAACAAAAGGGAGTCCCTGCCACAGAGGCAGGGTGGGGTGGGGGAATGGGGGGGGGGTGGGAGGGATACTGGGACCTGTGGTGGTGAAAAATGGGCACTGGTGGAGGGATGGGTGTTTGATCATTGTATAATTGAAACCCAAGCACAAAAATTTGTAAGTCTACAACTGTACCTCATGGTGTTTCACTAATAAAAATTTAAAATAAATAAATAAAAAAATATAAGATGAAAAAATTTTAAAAAATAATAAAAATGAGTGCTCTCTGGTTTTCAGCAGTGTCTTTTAGTATCTGGTCCTCCAGAGATTTAGAACATTTAGATTTGACAGATAAGCATTTTCAGCAAGCATTCATTCTGTTCAAGCCCCTCAGTTTGGAGATCAGGAAAGTTGGCTTCAAAATAGGTTGACCAGGTCCAGAACTTGAACAACCTTTCAAATGGCCTCCATTCCTCTGCTTTGGTTCCTTGTGTCTCCACTGTCCCTACCACAACCTCCTCTTAATTTTCTTAGTCCCTCACCCAAAACAGACAGAACAAAATATCAGTAAACTCGGGACCAGAGTGATATAGTACAGTGAGTAGGGAGCTTGCCTTGCTTGCAGCAGATTCAGACTAAATCCCTCGCACCCCATGTGGTCTCCGTAAGGGGTGATCCCTGAGCACAAAGCCAGGAATAAACCCTGAGAACTGACAGGTGTGGTTCAAAAACAAACAAAAAAGCAGGAAAGTTAACAAAGTGAATGAAAATGTTTGGGAGAGAGTAAGCCCCACACACTGGAGTATAAACTAGAATAAACAAAGAAAATCCTTAGCAATTCTAGTTTGTCCTTTGGTGATGTTACTCAGAGATAGGGGCTTGCCATTTCCTTTAAAGACAGGTGTATTTAGTACATCCCAAAATTGACATGCATTCTCACTAAATATTCCCAGGGATGCTATTTTTCTCTTCATTAAAATTAAGGAAAGAAATTTTCAGTGGTTGTTCAAAGTAAAACTCAATAAAATGCCATTTCAACTATGATAGAGATGCATTGTTGATGTTTGCCTTTTATTTTTAATGATTTGTTCTTTAGCAATAGAACCAACAATATTTTTTGTTTGTTTAATTTTATTTCTTATTTTATTCAATTTTATTTATTTTTGCTTTTTTGGGTCACACCCGGCCATGCTCAGGGGTTCCTCTTGACTCTCACTCAGGAATCACTCCTGGCGGTGCTCGGGGGACCATATGGGATGCTGGGAATCGAACCCGGGTTGGCTGCATGCAAGGCAAATGCCCTACCTGCTGTACTATTGCTCCAGCCCCGCAACATCATTGTTTTATTGTTTTATATGTGCAGTGTTTCTCTACTATACCTACACCAAAGTGCCTGGATACTCCCAACTTTATTCTCTCACCCCACAGCCACAAAATCACGGTTCTATTGACCCTATCTCAAAGTTGTTTCCATTGAGAATTGTTCAATCCCTTGCTTTGTCTCCTTATATTTCACAAATTAATGATCATCTGATGTTTCACTTTTCCTTTTTGACGCACATCACTTATCACGACTTCTTCCAGTTCCATTCAAATTGCAGCAAACTGCATGATTTCATCTTATCTCATAGCTGAGTCATATTCCAGTATGTACAGAAATTATAGTTTCCTTACCACTCACCTGATGCTGGGCACCTGGCTGTTTCCAGATCTAGACTAGTGTAAATAATGCTGAAATGAATACAGATGTGCATATGTCATTTTGGATTAAAGCTCTAGTGTTTTGGGGGTATCAGGAGTGGGATGGCAGAGTCAAAGAAAAGCTCTGTTCTAAAACTCTGAAAACTCTCCTGTCCTTTCCTTTTACAGAAAAACAGAAAGGACAGTTGAGAAATAACTGACACAGGATTCTCTGGCTCTAAAACAATGATTTTCTGGTGGCATGTGTCTCTTCTCCAGGGCAGCCCTGTTTTCACTGGTCATTCTTGGTAGGCATTATGTCTTGGCCAGACCATCAAAGAACTCTGGGTTTTTTTTTCACCTTTTTTTTTTCAGGGTTTTATACTTACATTATGCTCACAAACCCTAGCCAATATATGTCGGAAGAGTTAGTTGGAAATAAAGAGAAAAGAGGAAGTATTTTTTAGAAACAAATATTCTGGACCAATTCACCACGTTGGTATTCTTGGGTAAGTATAAATTTTTGTAAGGCTCCTTCCTTAGTTGGAAAATATGCAGAAAACCTCCTCCATCGACAGCTTGTTGTGAGAAGAAAATGAGATAATAAAGGCACTCAATAACTAGCCATTAAGTAAATATCTATTGAATAAAAAACTAATCAAGAAGCATTACATGGCAGTATGATTTTCTAACCCTTTAATGCAATTCTTTGTCCACTCATCTGATGTTGGGCATAATCCCATTTTCCTTGGCACCAAGTGGCTGACTGGAAGCTGAAATATGAGTTTCTGTGTCTAGCTGCTCACTGGGCCCTTGCCTACTTGACTGGCCCTAAAGTGTTTAAAGAGAAGCATTACAGTCAACAGTGGAATGATTGCCAATTGTTTTATTTATGCTGCTTACTGAGATGACAAGGAAAGCCAGTGTCTGGCCTCCAAGAAAAAGCTTATGGCCCATCTACATAGTCCACAATGCAGCAGAAGGACTGGACACCTGCAGAGGCAGCACCCCAATCAATGGGCTTCTGGCACTTCATCCTGTCCAGGAGGTACTGCCAACACAGCAATTGGGTAGGTCATAAGAAAGTCAGACCCTTTCCCCTGCCAGCACCTTACAGGAGTGAACCTCTCATATGCATGTGAAACAGTTCCAAGATGGAAGGGCAGTCTTCAGTACTTTCATTCATCTTACAATTAAAATCCCCTTTCTCAAAAATCTGAATCTTATATTGGTTTCCGTTAAAAATAAACACAGGAAGATGGGGCCGGAGCGATAGTATAGCAGGTAGGGCATTTGCCTTGCAAGTGGCTGACCTGGGTTCAATTCCCCGGCATCCCATATGGTCCCTATGCACAGTCAGGAGTAATTCCTGAGTGCAGAACCAGGAATAACCCCTGAGCATCACTGGCTGTGACCCAAAAAGCTAAAAAAAAAAAAACAGCTGCACTGCACTGTAGCACTGTCCTCCCGTTGTTCATCAATTTGCTCGAGCAGCACCAGTAACGTCTCCATTGTGAGACTTGTTGTTACTGTTTTTGGCCTATCAAATATGCCCTGGGGAGCTTGCCAGCCTCTGCCATGCAGGTGGAATACTCTCGGTACAACAACAACAACAACAACAAAACAAAACAGAAAAGCAAAGCAAAGCAAAACAAAACCAAAAAACACAGGAAGAAAAGAACAGCAACCATGGCAGAAATCACCAGCAGGTGAAGAACTCAGAGAAGCTCATGAGTCAGAACCTGTCATCTTGAAAACTAGTTGATCATCACCCCCATCCTCACTGTGCACTGAAACAGCTGACTTTTGCTAGAAAAAAATTCACTCCATAAAATATCTTCAATGTGGAGAAAGCACTACTGAAATATATTTATTTAATCTCATGATAAACTGAGCTAAAGGTTTTTGTTTTTTATTTTTGTTTTGTTTGGGGGCCACAACCAGCAGTGCATATGGGCTTATTTCTGACTCTGAGATCAAGGATCACTCCCAGTAGTTTTCACACAGCCATATATGGTCCTGCGATGGACCCTGGGTTGCCCACGTGAAAGGTAAACACGCTACCTACTGTACCGTCACTCCAGCCCCTGAGCTAAGAGTTTTCGGATGGGAAAAATTGGGTAAAGGTGGTCAACTGCAGGAGCCAGAGAGATAATGCAGGAGCTAAGATGCTCACCTTGCATATGGTGACAGGTTCTGATCCCCAGCTCTGCATTCAATTCCCTGAGCACAACTACAAGAGATCCCTGAGCATATAGAGCAGGAGTAAGCTCAGAATAGGCTGGGGGTGACTCAAAAACAAAAACAAAAATAGCAGTCAATTGCATAGCAAAAGTTGGAAAGGATTTCTTCTACAGCAAAACATTAGCTAACAATGTCAATTTACAATGATGCGCATCTGAAACTATGTTACAGTGTAATATCACTTCAACAACAAATATTAAAAAAAAAAAAGTTACTTATTCCTCTTACTCCTCAACAGTAAGAAAGCAGGACAGTTTTTGTTGTTTTCACCTGAGGCTACTTAGGAGCTACCTAGGGGCTACTTCTGGCTCATTGCTAGGGGTCACTCCAGTCATGCTCAGGGGACCATGTGTGTTGGGTATCAAACCTATGCCTCCTGCATGCAGAGCTTGTGTTCCCACTGAATCAATCTCTTTCTCTCCCCCTCCGTCCCTCAGTCCAACCCCTCCCCTCTTTTCTGCCCCCACCCCAGGCCAAGATAAAAGCAATGATAGTAGTCATAATAATAAGGGAGGAAGGAGAAAGTATGCCTCCACACTTAGCAGACAGATAGCCCTCCCAGAGCCCAGGTGGTCACTGAGGCCCAGCCAATACTGGTAGTCAGGGTTCTCACTCTGAGGCAAGACATACATATACCCGGCCAAGTGAGGCTTTTTGTACACAGCCCAGTTTACCTCCTTCCACTCTGAAGGGGCATGTGGAAATCTGCACCATCGCTGTCACGGTCACAGTGGTGGCCTTGAAAATCTTTTTTATTTAAATTTTTATTAGTGAAACACGATGAGTTACAGTTATAGACTTACAAATGTTTGTGTTTGGGTTTCAGTTATACAATGATCGAGTACCCATTCCCTACCACCAATGATCCCAGTATCCCTCCCACCCTCCCATCCCCCCCACCCCCCCCCCCCACCCCGCCTCTGTTGCAGGGGATTTCCTTTTGTTCTCGCTCTCCTTTTGGTTGCTGTGGTTTGCAAAAGAGGCATTGAGTGGCAATCATGTTCAGTCTATAGTCTACTTTCAGCATGCATCTCCCATCCTGGGAGGATCCTCCCAACACTCTTGGTTCTCCCTTCTCTATCTGAGCTGCCTTTTCTCCTAGCATGTGCAATTGGCCTCCAAGCCATGGAGTGAACCTCCTGGTACTTATCTCGGCTATTCTTGGGTGTTCATCTCCTATTTTGTTACTTTATGTTCCCCAGATGAATGCCATCTTTCTATGTCTGTCTCTCTCTGACTCATTTCACTTAGCATGATACTTTCCATGTAGTACCACTTATATGTAAATTTCATGGCTTTATCTTTTCTAACCGCTGCATAGTACTTCATTGTGTAGATGTAGCAAAGTTTCTTTAACCAGTCATCTGTTCTCGGGCACTCAGTTTTTTTCCAGATTTTGACTATTGTGAATGGTGCAGCAATGAACATGGAAGTGCAGATGTCATTTTGACCGTACTTTTTTGCCTCTCCATGATATATTCCCAGGAGTGGTATTGCTGGATCAAACGGAGCTCAATTTCTAATTTTTTGAAAATCATTCACACTGTTTTCTAAAAGGGCTGAACCAGTCAGCATTCCCACCAGCAGTGAAGCAGAGTCCCTTTCTTGCCATATCCGTGCCAGCACTGGTTGCTTTTGTTCTTTTGGATGTGGGCCAGTCACTGTGGTGTGAGATATCTCATTGTTGTTTTGATCTGCATCTCCCTGATGATTAGTGAAGTAGCATTTTCTCATGTGCCTTTTTGCCATTCGGATTTCTTCTTTGAGAAAGTTTCTGTTCATTTCATTGCCCCATTTTTTAATGAGGTTGGATTTTTTCTTCTTATGGCATTCAACCAGTGCATGTATATACTTGATATCAACCTCTTATCGGATAGGTATTGGGTGAATATCCTTTCCCATTCTGTAGGTTGTCTTTGTGTTCTGGTCACTGTATCTTTTGAGGTGCAGAAGCTTCTTAATTTAAGATAGTCCCATTTGTTTATCTCTGTTTCCACTTGGTTGGTCAGTGGAGTATCGTCTTTGAAGATACCATTAGCCTCACTATCGTGGAGGGTTTTGCTGACCTTGTCTTCAATGTATCTTATGGATTTTGGCCTGATGTTGAGATCTTTAATCCATTTTGATCTGACTTTTGTGCAGGGTGTTAGGTCAAGGTCTAAGCCCATTTTATTTTGCATGTGGTTGTCCAATTATGGCCAGCACCATTTGTTGAAGAGGCTTTCCTTGTTTCACTTCACATTTCTTGCTCCCTTATCAAAGATTAGATGTTCATACATTTGGGGTTGTGTGTATGGATATTCCACCCTGTTCCATTGGTCTGCGGCCCTGCCTTTGTTCCAGTACCATGCTGTTTTAATTATTACCGCTTTGTAGTAGATTTTGAGCTTGGGGAGGTTGATGCCTCCTCACATCTTTCCCCCAAGAATTGCTTTAGCTATTTGTGGGCGTTTGTTGTTCCATATGAATTTCAGGAGTGCTTGATCGATTTCTTTGAAGAGTTTCATGGGTATCCTTATAGGGATCGCATTGAATCTGTATAATGCTTTGGGGAGTATTGCCATTTTGACAATGTTAATTCTTCCTATCCATGAGCAGTGGATATGTTTCCATTTCCTCGTGTCCTCTTTTATTTCATGGAGTAGCGTCTTGTAGTTTCCATTGTAGAGATCCTTTACCTCTTTAGTAAGGCTGATTCTGAGGTATTTGATTTTCTGGGGCACAATTGTGAACGGGATTGTTTTTTTCATGTCACTTTCCTCTCTCTCATTATTTGCATATAGGAAGGCCATGGATTTTTGGGCATTAATTTTATAGCCTGAGACTTTACTGTACAAGTCTATTGTTTCTAGGAGTTTCTTGGTAGAGGATTTAGGATTCTCAAGATATAGTATCATATCTTCTGCAAATAGTGAGAGCTTTATTTCTTCCTTTCCTATCTGGATGCCTTTAATGTCTTTTTCTTGCCTAATCTCTAATTTCTTGCCTAATGCAAGTACTTCCAGTACTAAATTGAACAAAAGTGGTGATAGTGGGCATCCTTGTCTTGTCCCTGATCTTAGTTTTTCCCCATTGAGGATAATGCTTGCTTTGGGTTTGTCACGGATGGCTTTGACTATTTTGAGGAAAGTTCCTTCAAAACCCATTTTGGTGAGAGTTTTCATCATAAATGGGTGCTGGATCTTGTCAAAAGCTTTCTCTGGGTCCATTGATATGATCATATGGTTTTTATCTTTTCTTTTGTTAATATGATGGATTACGTTGATTGATTTCCAAATGTTAAACTATCCTTGCATCCCCGGGATGAATCCCACTTAGTCGTGGTGTATGATGAGTTGTTGGATTCTATGTGCGAATATTTTGTTGAGGATCTTCGCATCCTGTTCATCAGAGATATTGGTCTATAGTTTTCTTTGTTGGTGGTGTCTTTGTTTGCTTTTGGTATTATGGAGATATGTGCCTCATAGAAGCTGTTTGGGAGAGTTCCTGTTTTTTCAATTTCCTGGAAAAGCTTGAGGAGAACTGGCAACGGGTCTTCTTTAAATGTTTGCAAGAATTCACTAGTGAATTCATCTGGGCCTGGGCTTCTGTTTTGGGAAGACTTTTGATTAATTTTCAATTTCCTTGATATGAATTGATCTATTCAGGTATCCCAAGTCTTCTTGGTTCAATCTTGGGAGATTATAGGAATCCAGGAATTTATCCATTTCTTCTAGGTTCTCTTGTTTCGTGGTATACAGACTCTCAAAGTAGTCTCTGATGATCTTTTGAATTTCATTGGTTTCTGTTGTGATGTCCCCTTTTTCATTTCATTTCTTTTCTTTTTTTATGTAAGAGTACTGCTATTTATTCAGCCCCTGATTAGGCTGATTGAATTGTGCATGAACTCCACCTTACTTTTTTTTCATTTTTAATAGTTTTATTTATTGAATAACCGTGAGAGCAGTTACAAAGCTTCCAGTTTTAAGTCTCGGTCATACAATGAAACACCCGTCCCTTCACCAGTGCCCATTCTCCACCACCAAAAACCCCAGTACACCCCCATCTCACACCCTCCCCCTACCTGTGGGGCAGATGATTTCAAATTACTCTCTACTTTGATTACATTCAATATTTTGACACCAGACCCACCATTATTATTGGGATTTTACCTCAACACTCAGATCTGCCAAAAAGGCAATAGTAGACAATTTGTTTTCTATTGCTGGTTATGAATAACATAAGATGTCGTGTGGCTGCAGTAGTGGCTGCAATTTTGAAATTCTGAAATTTTAACACTTACATCTGGAGGGAATTCTGCCCAAACATGCTGGGTTCTGAGATTTGTTCCTGAGTCTCTGGGATCATGGCTGTTAAGCAGCTTGATCAGGAGCCAGAGAAGCCATTCATGGGCGGTGACTTGGAATGTTGTTGGGATGGGGAGGAAAGGGCCGGCTCCACCCCATCCCCTGAGGCCCCGTGTGTCTCATCACTGCAGGCCCAAACCTGACTGTCCAGTAACCTCTGGAGGATGACAGCCACTGGGCCACCAGGGGGAACAGGCCAAGGCACAAAACCTATTCCCTCTTTGGATGGCCTGGCACTGGTAACCTACTCAGGGACCAGACGCATTTCTGCCAAAAGCCATTGGGTTTTGCGATTTGTTTCGAGTCTCTGGGATCATGGCCGTTAAGAAGTTCGATCAGGAACCAGAGAGGCCATGCCTCCATTTATATAGCTGAGCCGGAGGTGGTTTGTGGGTGTGTTTCCCACATACCTAACTTTTGACCATTTATTTTCTTGGTAAACTTTGCCCCAAGTTTTTGGAATCTGGCCAAAGGCACAGCAGCAATTTGGGGGTATCTGGAAGTCTGAAGGTGCCATCAGGCTGCTGATGCACTCGCCTCACAGGTACAGATTGACCTACTGGCGGCACCATACCTCCACCCTTTTTCATTTCTGATTCGGTCTATTAGGGTTCTCTCTCTCTCTTTCTTTGTGAGTCTTGCTAGTCGTTTATCAATCTTGTTTATTTTCTCAAAGAACCAGCTCTTGGTTTCATTGACTTTTCGGATTGTTTTTTGGGTTTCCATGTTGTTAATTTCTGCTCTAAATTTTATTATTTCTTTCCTTAGGGGTGGCCTTGAAAATCTTTTCCCGTCATACAAGGTAATCTGAAGCACAGTGCAGACAATGAGAACGAAGATGGGTGGCTTTATCTGCTGACAAAACTCCTTTCTCCTCATAACCTTTACCTTCCAGCAGACAACTTTGGTTGTCAACAATTGGAGTGAGGAGTTTCTTTATAAAAATGTTAAAATATAGCAGAACAAGAGGGCACTAAATATGTCAGAAATTTGAGACATTCATTATTTTCTATTCCTGCATCTTGCTCTACTTACATTATATAATAAATATAATTTTTCCACTTCTCTGTCTGCCTCCCCTGCCAGACTCTTATGAGACTTCTAACCACAAGGCTTCAGCCTTATTTCAGCTCTGAACTCCTTTAAGCAGCTCTTGACAAACCCTGAGCACATGTATGATGAAGATGGGTGGTTTCGCAACGCAGAAATTTATTCTAGGTGATGTGGAGGAGCTGACCAGCTGATAAATAGGGCTCCGAACTCAGCTTCAGAAAGTTTATTTTACATGGATGTAGAAGAGAGCACAGATGCATGAAAGTACAGCATGCTGTGTCCTATA